TGTTATCATGTAAGGTCCTTTCCAGTTGGGCCTAGTGATCTGGATCCGACCTCCCTCGTGGCGAGGAATATTCTCCTTAGGACCAAGGCCTACTTCGAACTCCCTTTTTTGCACTTTTTTGTTCTAATTACCTGGCATTCCGTTGTTTGTAAACTGCGTTCTGGAGTTTGGCTTTATTTCTTTTTTCTTCCACTAGATCTAGTTCTCCATTAAGAGTCATTTGATTCTCTTCTTCGCTATAGGCAGCTGTGCGGAATGATGGAATCCCGATCTGTAATGGGATTACAGCCTGTACGCCGAAAGCTAGTGAGAACGGAGTTTCACTCGTGCTTGTTCTGCTTGTTTTGGTAGTGGTGCAGTATGACCATAGTATACCGGGGAGTTCTTCAACCCATCCCCCTTTGAGCGTGTTAAGTTTTACCTTCAACGTGTGTTTAATAATCTTGTTGATAGCCTCAACTTGGCCATTGCTTGTGGGTGATTAGGTGTGGAGAAGTGTTTCTTGATACCGAACTCCTCGTAAATTTTTTTTAGGCATTATCAAACTGTTTCTCTCTATCAGTGACAATAGAGTGAAAGATGCCGAATCGGCATCTAATGGACTTCCATATGAAGTCAGTTGTTTTTTGTTCGGTGACTTTGGCAAGCGGTTCAGCCTCGGCCCATTTGGTGAAATAATCCACTGCTACAATAGTGAACTTAACTCCATATTTCCCTTTGGGCATAGGTTCAATCAAGTTGACCCCTCCCCCCCACTTTGCAAAGGGCCAGGAAGCGACTACTGGGTTCAACTCACACGGTGGTGTTCTAATGATAGGGGTGAAGCGTTGGCATTTATCACATTTCTTCACAAAGTTTAGGGCGTCTTGCTTTATTGTGGGCCAAAAATATCTTTGGCGTATGATTTTGTGGACTAAGGATTGTCCACCAGAGTGGCTTCCACACATCCGCTCATGTACGTCTTGCAGGGCATACTGCGCTTCTTCTTCATTCTAACATCTAAGCAGAGGGGTGGAATATAGATTTACTAGAAAAGATATATTCGTTAGAGAATGGAGATCGAAAAAAAGTCTTTTGGTAGGCGATTTTCCTCTTTTGTAGAGGACATTGTTAATCAGGGTGTACCTGGTCGACCTGGTTCGGAGCCTTCTGACTTCGGTTACATCGCTAGGGCATTATCTGATCTTGAGGCGTAAGATTATTTCATCTAACCAGGTTGATTTGTGATCAATCATCATGAGTGTCACTTCGGCTAATTCAGTGGTGGGTTGTGATATTCTTTCCACCGGGATGCTATTAAATTCTTCAATCCCTTCGCTAGTGGCTAATTGACCCAAAGCATCAGCATGGTTGTTCTTGGATTGGGGAATTTGTTTGATCTAGACAGTTTTGAAGTTTTTAGGTTCTTTCCTGACAATTTGAAGATAACCGTTCATCCTTTCTTCCTTGGCTTGATATGACCCATTGATCTGATTAGGTCTGGATATCGAGTGGGTCGGTCCGGGTATTTCAATACCTAGAACCACCCATTATGCTTCGTGTATTTCGCAAATGGAACCATTCGGGTCTTTATAAATACTAGAACACAATCCAAACCCGAACCATCAGTTCCGATTTGGTTTCGGATCTACCCATAGCATTTTTTATACATTTATTCAATAAATATTTTATATACTCTAGACCTTTTTGGTACATATACCCAATACGCTACTACTCATAAAGAAGAAAATTCAGTTAAAAAATTTTAATGAGCAAACTATTGAATACTAAAAGCCACGAAAAATAGGAGAAAATAAAATAAAGATCCAAAAATGAAATTATAACTTGAAAAAAAAAATTATTTTTCTTAATAAATCTTATTCGATCTATAAGAGACGCATACTAGGCATATAATTTAATTATGAACAATACTTAAATTCTTCTACTTTTAAAACGAACTGATATAAAAATATTAATTAAATACATAACTAATATATTATCAAAAAATTACGATCTACATGTTGAACTCACTCTGTTTGAATAAAAAAATAAAACATAAATATTTAAAAAGAGAATCACAAACTCAAGATAACAAAAACGTACAACACAACGCAAGCAATGAATATATCAAATTCAATTGCCACGCGTTGTAAAAAATTTTAAAAAAAATCACTTAAGTTTATTAACAATACAAGAAAGTAAAAAATTGGAATTGCAAAGAATAAATGCTTTGATTCATCAATATATACCACAACCTGTTTTGAATTTTTGATTTGTAAAAAGCTCAAATTGTAAACATTAACATATGATAACCTCTGAAATACGATAATTTGATGTAAGGTGAGATGTAAAAAAGTAAGAGTCAATCATATTTTTAGGGTTAGAGTTTAAAATTTTAGACTAATTACTATCAAAATTAGGATTTTTGGGTTTTATATATTTTTTCAGCCTATACATTTTGAATAAATTTTTTTATAATAATTGGTTCTAACCGAGTACCCACGGTTCTAGTTCAAGAACCAAGAACCGAACTGAACCCAGTCGGTTATCGGTTCTCGATTTCAGTTCCTAATTTATTTTTCGAGAAATCAGACTGGAACCTTCGATTTCGGTTCGGGAGATTTGAATTCGGTTAAAATGCCTAGGCCTAGATCTGATTGACTACCAGTTGGGAATTGCCGTGTATGATCAAATTGGGGATTCTCAGTCCTATTGCCATCTTGATTCTGGCAATGAGAGCTTCATTTTCAGCTTCATTATTGGACGCCCTGAAGTCAAATGGAAGGGCTTCACAAAACAGACGTCGGTCCGAGCTGATTAAAATAACTCCTATCCTTGATCTATCAACGATCGATTAGTCGACCACGAAAAGCTCCTGAGAGACCTATTGTGGTGATTCCTTTCTTGGTTCGTCGTTGGATTCCGCAACAAAGTTCGTGAGAGCTTGGCCTTTGATGGAAGTATGGGTTTGTATCTTATGTCAAATTGCCCGAGCTTTGCTACCCATTTAACCATTCTTAACGTTATCCAGCTTTTGCAAGGTCTACCTTAACGATGAATTGGTGAGGACCTCAACAGAGTGCTCCAAGAATTAGGGTCTCAGTTTACAAGTTGGGACTAGCAACGTATAGGCTAGTTTTTCCAATGGGGAGTATCTGAGTTCGGCCCCCTGAAGTGCCTTTCTTGTGTAGTAGACAAGGTGCTGTGTTCCATCCTCTTCCCAAATTAAGTCGGCACCGATGGCGCGTTCTGTAATGGTTAAGTACAGTTTCAAGACCTTGCGCTGCCCTCGACTTTGATAGAACAGGAGGACGAGCTAGCAACTTCTTTAATTCATCAAAGGCATCTTGCCATTCCTGGGTCCACTCGAACTTTCTTCCTTCATGTAGTGTGTCGAAGAAGGGCTTGTACCTATCTATAGATTTTGACACGAACTGACAGAGGGCAGCGATTCTTCCTGTTAGACTTTATACTTTCCTCAGTTTAGTCAGGGCTTTCATATCGATGATAGCTTGTATCTTTTCTGGATTTACTTTGATGCCCCGATTGTTCAACATGTAGCCCAGAAATTTTCCCGAGCTGACTCAAAGGCACATTTTCTTGGGTTCAGCTTCATTCCATACTTTCTTAGGATATCAAACATTTCTAATACGTACTGGCAATGGTCTTTGGCGTGGGTGCTCTTGACCAGCATGTCGTCAACGTAAACTTCCATGGTTTTTCCAATCTGTTCGGAAAATATAGAGTTCACAAGCCGCTTATAAGTGCCTCCAGCATTTTTGAGACCAAACGACATTACCCTATGGTAGTAAAGACCTCGGTCGGTGACAAACGAGGTATGCTCCTAATTTCGATTGTACATCGGTATCTAATTGTATCCGAAGTACGAGTCCATAAAGCTGAGTAGTTCGTGCCCGGTAATAGCATCCACCATTTGATCTATTCTTGGTAGGGGA